CCTGCTCATATGCTTAATAACAAAAGCTATTCTGCATCTTTAACCAAACTTTGTATATAAATATAGACTTACTAATAGGTTAAAAAAGTTTTTGTGCAGACTATACCCGTCGTCCGAGAAACAAATCACCGCCAACTTTTTAAGGCATTCTGATTTATTTCTATTCAGACTGTACCTTAGTCCTATAGGTGATAAGCCCTCGAGGCAACTGCCTCCGAATGTTAACTGACATGTATGTGAAATAATAATCGAAATGAGTGTCATTTGTTTCTTACCAAATTGATAGACAAATTAATAACTTAAAATAGAGATACTCTGAGAGATATCATTTAAAAATGAGCGAGAATTAACTTAGGTATTTTTAAAGTTTAATCTTAAATGTATTAAATGTCGTTCAAGAGTTAATAATCATCTCTGAAAGCGGCCTAGAGTACTAGACTAAAACCTTAGTACTTCTTAATTTGAAAGATAAGGATTTTCTCAATCACTACGTTCTATATCATTCTCTTGCTGTAACGTAAGTCTTAGATGACACAGCGTCTACGAAATGCCACTATAAAAGTTCAGTACAAAATAACGAAGTTGAAAGTTTCAAGCTCTTAATCGTCTATCGGTCCATAACATTTTTAAATAATGTTTCTGAGATTTTAGTCGGAGTTTGAAAGTGAAGAAAAAAGCTGGACCACAAGAAGTTAAGTGCACTGGAAAAATTTTGCTAATTCAGTTTTCCGAGAGTATATAAAAGACATACCGTTACTAATTTTAGCGATTGATATATAAATGTTGACAGCCGTGATAGCTCAGTGTCCGGGCGCTCGCCTTTAATTCAATATACTTGAGCAACCTGGGTTCGATCCCCGGCGCCGGCACCAATGAAGTTTTTAACTTTAAGTGCTGACTTATCACGTGCTCCGCGGTGAAGGAAAACATCATGAGGAATCCTGCATATTTTCGAAATAATAAGAAAAGAAATATATTTCGAAGATAAGTCCGCCAATCCGCAGCGGGGCCGCGTGGTGGACTATGCCCTGATACCCTCTGTATAGAGGCGGCCTTTGCCCAGCAGTGGGACATGTATAGGCTGTTACTTTATATTAATGTTGAAGCTTTTGGTTGAAAGTGATAAAAGAGTTATTAAAGCAAATGGATATCCACAATTCATACTATCATTTTAACTGTTTTCGCCTGGTTTATTGTCAAACAGATTTCCTGTTCTCCCCATTTACTTGTAGAAACTTAAATAGTATTATTAGTCCATGTCCAATCATACCTAAATTTATTGCACTGTTTATTCACTGTTTATCACTGTTTTTAATGTTTTTTACTGTTATTTCCTTTATCAATTATTTGTTTTTAATTTATTAATTCTTGTTTTAATTTTGGATTTTGTAAAAAAAATATCTTTATCTGTATTTTTCTCGCCCATTATATTGCATGCTGTCAGCGCCTTTAATTGTAATGACACTAACGAACAGTTAATGTATACTTATTTTCCTTAGTCTTAAATAGTGTACATTATGTTGGCGTTCATTAAATAAATAAATAAATTCCCTTTGACAACCTTTAAAAAAGTGGGCCCCGGTTACCTCATTCACCAGATGAAACGCGAAAATTTAATACTTCCACTTCACGCCGGTCTTCTGTGAGGCCGTGGTAGGTCCTGCCCCGGACGAGCATGCCCATTTGTGCTACAGCAGAAGCTGTTCGGTGGCTCCATACGTAATACGTTTTCACAAGAATTACATGAACATGACAACTCCGTGGCCCAGTTGCCAAGGTATTGGCTTCGGCGCCGGCGATCTTGGGTTCGATTCCCACACGCGACCTATTTGTGCGACCCACAGATAGATGTTTAGCATCTGGATGTGTGTCCATGTGAAATTTATGTTTGTAAAACGTCCTTAAAACACTGGATAATGTTATCCCAAAGTGTGGGCCATGTTTTTTAAAATAGCAAAGAAAAGGAAGAACACTAAACAACCCGTACTAAAACTGTGGTATTAAACGAAATTCAAATCAACGAGACTGAGTCAGTCGCTGACAGCGAAGCAACCCTTTTTTTAGAAGTATCTCTGTTCGTATTGACAACTTCGCTGAAGCTCTCCTATTGGAGTAATCCGGATAGTTTTGTTATCACAAAAACAAACGCGTTAATTAACAAAACACGTCACAATCAAAGTTTCGGATGAAACGATCCAATTAAAAAAGCAACATTCGTTCAGAGTTAAACACCTGACGGGCCGCGGCGCAGACAAAATGCAAAATGGCGGCACTGCAAGTGTATAAGACTAAAAATATCTCTAAAAAAGAAACCGCGAGGGCGAAAACATCAAACGATCACTATGACACTCGACGATTCAAAGGGCCCACTAAGCATGCATACGTACTGACTTTAAAAAGTTAACGGATACGTCACATCCCTGTTAATTATGTAAGTATACAGAAAGCGCCCCCGCACCGCTTTATTTTTTTTTAATAAAAAAACGCAGTGAAAAGGAAGAGCGCCTTTGACATTTCAGACCTAAACGCGTAAGTGCACTCGGCGGAATGGGTTATATGTTTTCACGAACGCACTTTCAAATTACTTTGAATCCGATATAAATATAATATCCGCTTCGAATCATCCCTCGGCTCTACTGCGAATAAGTTTACATTTCACCGATTACGTATCTATGTTTCAACCTATGAATAAGGCGAAGTTTAAACGATATTCCAATGTAATTTAAAAATAGGCTCGGCTATCATATTTTATCAATAGAAGTAAAAAATAAATTTAAGATTAGTTTTTTCCAATTCAAAAACACTTAAATTGTGATAACAACGAAAGAAATTCAAATGTAACTGTGACCAACACTTGACATTTATATCAACGCGTTATAAAAAAAATCCATAGACAATAAACGCAGGCCTGAAGTAAACTCCGTGGTGAAGATAAGATGCGTTCGTAAACTAAAAAGAGACAAGTGTAAGTGTCAAATGTCGAAAGGGAAGAGCGAATGTTCTGGAATTCGATTAGTGATTCTATTCAGCAAAGAGCCGGGGCATTAGCGCCACCTGCGCACCGAACGGAGTTGAATCAAAGTGGGAACTAATGAGGTGTGCGCGAGCGGAACCTACCAGACATCCGATCTTTAAGAGAACTTGTGGAAGCGCTTAGTGCTGCGAAACAGCGCGGATAACTCGATGCTTTCGAATGTGTTCCAAAAACTGTTACCGCTTCGTCGTACCATTCAACTTATTCATATTATTTGTTCGCAATATTAATAACGTATAACGTTCTCGAATTGTAATTAAATAAGTTAAATAAATTAATTCCGCATAAATTTTATTTGTTTCTCTTATAAATAAGGATTTTGACTAGTAATGGAATTACTTGCTTCAGACAATAACAAAGTCATGAATATATGAAATTAGTTTATAACAAAAGTAATTTTTGCATAAATTTATGAAAGTTAAACAAAGCTTTTATGTGCATAAAAAGCTATTAAGAGAAGTAAATTAAAATTTTAAAAACAAAAATTTAAGTAACTAATAATTTACTAATATTTTAGGTTAGTAGGTAACCATAAAATCGTACAAACTGATTTTGATAGGGATCCATGTGTGAGATTTATATTAAAGTTTTTAATTTTATTAAACAACGAAGTTGTATATATAAAACTTCGATGATTTTTCTTTCATAGCAAGTAACTATTGCTCATATTTATAATTACTATATAATACAGGTTTATTTAAACTTTGTCTTATAGAGGAATTGCGAAGTCCACAAACTATGCCATTACATTTTGTAAATTAAACAAAAAAAATATGTTGAAGTAACGAATAGAATTTTTATTAGTTGCTGAAATTGAAGCTGCAAAAAAAATCTATTCCAGAAAGAAACATATTTATTATATTTTGTTTTATATTTTTTTTTATTAATGATGGTGAGCAAAGTAGGTACGTATTTATTTTGAAGTATTCAATTACTAGCAATTAATAAGCAATATTAAGATAAATAAAATTGAATAGAATTAGAACATAATTATAAATATAACGGAACATCAAAAGTAAATTTGTGTATCACAGTTACTTTTGAAGTTATTGAAAAGTCCGTACTTTTTCCCGCCATTTGGCCAAAACCACAGACTACAAATGGCGCGCCCCACACGGGGCGTCCAATCCAATATTTCAATTAATTAAAATGGAGACAAACTGGCAAACAGTTGCATCGGTAGCCCCATCTCAGTTGGAATTTTAAAAACGACGGTGCCGACTTTACGCGCGTTTAGAGAGCTCTGCATGCAGTTGCCTTTGACGTTCTCAGGCGGCCACTTAAGGGGCAACTGTTTCTCTAACATTTGCCTACTCCCGCTTAGCCGGGATCTTTTCTAATATATAATCCCGCATCTGCCTTGTTCATAACTGGAGTTGTTTATGTCGCCGTCTTTAAACTTTATTATATATTCAAATTGGTAAGGACGTTTGTATGAAACGCGTTTAAGTGAAAAATAAATTTTAGGTGAAACTGTTATTTTGATCCAAACAATACAGTATTCTTATTCCATTTTGGTGCAATGTTTTTCATCATTGTGCATTTGAGTAGACAATACATACATTTAGTATAGGTACATTAATGTAGCTACTAACTACTACAAAACGACAAATGTTAAGCGTATTCAACAAAGCTAACATCTTCGTTATGCGGCAAGGAGTGGATTTGTTAGACCATTCGTTGACCATTGCACATATTAATATCACTACATAGTATAAAACAAAGTCGTCCCGCTGTCTGTCTGTCCCTATGTTTGCTTAGATCTTTAGAACTACGCAACGGATCTTGATACAGTTTCTTTTACTAGATAGAGTGATTCAAGAGGAAGGTTTATATGTATAATACATTGCACCCATGCGAATCCGGGGTGGGTCGGTAGTACTTAATAAAAGTGTAAACGATTTCCAATCATATACAACACACCGCGAGCTCTAACGGGTACAAACTGCAACGACTCACACATTCACAACGCGTGGAATGTCGCATCTGCACATCTGAATATTAATGCGCGCACTAAGCCGGAAGCGTCAGTCCTTAGGCCTTCCCACAGGCCCAGCTCCCCGGACCTGGAGCTAATTAGCCTAATTAGAGACGGCTTTTTGTACGCACCCCGTTGAGCCGACACATCGGCGGCCAGCCGCCGCCTCACAAAGCCGCCGCCGATCGCGCGTCCAGATAGCCGACGTCTGATTGGCCGTGATGTATCATGTGTTACGACGCCAGCCCCATCAGCCGCGACGGTGTCCGTGAACGTTCCGCCACTATCGATCTCGCCCGTTCTAATCGTCGAATGAAACAATCGCATGTTGCTGAATTAAATATCGGTCAAGTGCGAGTTGGACTTGCGCACGAAGAGTTAGGTAAAAAAAACAAGTCAATCATGTATGTCAGCCCCACTTAAAATTTTTTTATTCTGTTTTTTAGTATTTGTTGTAATACCGCCAACAGTCATCTGTAAAAATTTCAACTGTCTATCGCGATTCATGAGAAACAGCCTGGTGACAGACGGACAGACAGACAGCGAAGTCTTAATGGGGTCCCGTTTTACCCTTTGGGTACCGAACATGGCAAGGGCTACAGTGAACTACTGCACGGTCACAGGACAAAATAAAGAATTGTTAAATGCGATAATATACTCGAAAAATTGTTTCCTTACTTGAACCCACTGTCTGTAAATATTTCGTTTACAATCAGGTGCAAGTGAATATGAGTGTTTCGATTCTAAATGGTAACTAGATTCGTTTTCTTTGATTTAGACTCAATATTAAATAGCACAAATTACGTCAGTTACATAACGTTAATATATCCTTAGTTCTTCTACTATCGTATGAAGCTTATTGTCTAGTTTATGTCCCACACAATTTGTTACAAAAATATCCAACTACTACTCAAGCCTGATATTGGAGGACTGTCAAGCCATTCTAAGAGGCAATCCATGTTTTAAGATTAAGAAGAAGCATACAAAATGAAATTGAGAAACTAACTCTTTGAAATTATTTTTCTTTTAACTTTTTTTTCGAATTGTAAAACCTAAGCTTGTATCAATTTTTACACATAGAAGATATTTGCAAATAAAACCTCAAAAATCTGAACTCCAACTACTCAACAATGCTCGTAAAACTATACTATACTATATGATTACAGCCTCCGAACAAGAAAATAAGTGACTTGATTAAATTCCGAACTGACTAAAACATTTATCGATCACCTCGGCCAAGTTAGTCGTTATAGCAAGTGGGCGGCTATTCTCAAAGCGCTCGGTTAGCGTCCTCGCGAATTTCGGCGCGACGTTACTCCGGTTCCAATTTGGTAGGCACTCGCTTTGACTAGACTCAAAGAGGCCACCAGCCCTCGCAGCGAGCCTTCGGCCCATTGTGCGCCAACGGGGGGAAATATCAAAGTGGAGTCGTTCGATTGGGACTTGAAAAGATCAAACACGTGTCCCGACATTCGAGTACCGGTGACTCGTGTGTGGCGTCTCTGTTACAGTCGCGTTGGGCACCTCTGCTACTTGACACAGCGCTTAACATAAGCAGGTGTGTTTTTAAACATAGCGTACAGTTAAGTTAAACAAATGCTAAGAAAACAATGTAGAAGAATACGTTAAGATTTTCGTCGGTGTGACAATCAGCCGTTTAGCTCTGTGGCTAGAGCGTCAGGCCGCGAATGCAGAAGACGTGGGTTCGATTCCCACAGCGGCGACAATCTTTTCGCACTTTTTCTACATATTTTAATAACGTACAGTTCTTCGTTATGAGCTCGAAACGCTAGGCTTTGTTCTAAAAGTCCTTAATCGAAAAAGTCGTAGTCTTTCCTTATATATCCTTCGAGCACCGTATTGTGTCCAAAAATGTTAAAACCTTCAAAACCCTTAAGTAGAAGTCCAAATCGCCAAAAGTACGTGTAACAAATTTGAATATTGTGTAAATCTTCAGTTACGACGTGTCCAGTTTAAATAAAAATGTTATAATTTAGAATCAAAATAGCAAATAGTCCGTAGTAGTTGTCAAAGTTGTAATGAATCTCTTTTACGGTTTTCAATCATTATAATCGTCATTTCAGCTTTTCACGGATTTGTTCGCGTTTAGTCTGTTTTTAATTTAAATTTACGACGTTTCGGACCCTTTACAGCATCCGCGGTGACGAAGTGGGCTGAGTTGTTTTACGTCTTAATTTTATTATAAACCCGAGCTACCAGTGTTTGATTTTTTTATATCCAACCAAATTTTTTACCAAATTTTTAAGGACCGAATTTGTAAGCGCGTTCAAGTAAGGTTAGAATTGGTGTAAATACACGAAATCACGAATTTTGTATTATATCGCATTTATAATTAAGCATAAAATGTCAATTAATCCTTTTTAATCTGTTTCGTCATCAGAAATCACCAGATTTTAGTATAATTACGAAAGAAAAATCCTATAGTTTAAAAAACTATAGTTTCTATAGTAGGTAATGACAATTACTTAAACATTAAAATAAGCCAATCTGTACGTACTACGTTCTAAATTCAAGTTCGAAGTTCAGTGCGTCTGCTCGCTAATGCTGACTTGTTCATAACATTACTCGAATTATTTTTAATGTTCGATTTTAATGTTATTAAATTCGCATTAACGACTGTCTGTGACGACAAGTTGGCTTCGTACGCGTAATTTGTTGGAATGTTATTGCTGTTCTGACCGAACAAGCTCGAGAACTTGCCTGTAAGTTTTTAAAATTTCACTTCATCAAGTTGAAATAGTCGCGCAATTTTTAACATAATACGCAAAAGAGCTCTTCAAACAGATCTTCTTAATATGTATACGCGACGGGTGTCTAAATTGCACTCTAATGTAACACTTTGCGACCGCCTAGCATTGGTAGGGTTCTGTAACTAAAGGTTAAAACGGGACCCTATTACTAAGACTCTGCTGTCTGTCTGTCCGTCTGTCACCAGGCTGTATCCCATGAACCGTGATAGTTAGATAGTTGAAATTTTCACAGATGATGCATTTTTATTGCCGCTATAACAACAAACAGTAAAAAAACAGAATAAAAATATTTAGGTGGGGCTCTCATACAACAGACATGATTTTTGTCGTTTTTAAAGATAATGGTATGGAACCCTTCATGCGCGAGACCGTCTCGCACTTGACTGACTTTTTAGCATACTTTTATCGTTACCTATGGTAAAACTCTTAACACATAACCTCAAAACGACATTCAATTCAATTCAATATCAGCCTATTGCCGTCCACTGCTGAACGTAAGCCTCCCCCAAAGTGCGCCAACTATCCCGGTCCTGGGCAGCCCGCATCCATCCGCTGCCCGCCACCTTTCTTAAGTCGTCAGTCCATCGTGCTGCAGGCCGTCCCACACTTCGTTTTCCTAACCGTGGTGTCCACTCTAACACGTGTCGGCTCCAGCGACCATCAGTACGTCTGGAGACATGGCCAGCCCACTTCCACTTCAGCGTGCTAATTCTTCGCGCAATGTCAGTGACTTTAGTTCTCTGGCGAATGACTTCGTTTCGTATCTTGTCTACCAGAGAAACCCCAAGCATTGCGCGTTCCATCGCCCGCTGAGCGACCTTGAATTTGTGGACCAGCCCCACGGTGAGTGTCCACGTTTCGGCTCCGTAGGTCATTACTGGTAGGACGCACTGGTTAAACACTTTGGACTTGAGGCATTGCGGTATTGACGACTCAAAAACGTGTCCTAGCTTCCCGAATGCCGCCCAGCCTAAGCGTATTCTTCGGTTGGCCTCTTTCTTCAAAGTTGTGCCGGCCTAGTTGTATAGTTTGGCCTAGGTAGGTGTATTCCTGCACAACCTCAAGCATACCGCCATTCACGACCACTGGTCTCGGGATCACATGACTATTGGACATAATTTTCGTCTTGTCAAGGTTCATACCGAGACCCACTTGTTTCGAAGAATCGCTCAGGCTGTTGAGCATGGCTTCCAGACATACGACAGATCTTGCAGAGATTCTGCCATGATGACAATGTCGTCAGCGAATCGCATGTGTGTTATTAATTGGCCATTAATATTAATGCCCCGTCCGTTCCAAATCCAGCGTCTTAAAGACGTCCTCCAATGCATTGGTAAACAGTTTCGGGGAAATCACATCCCCCTGTCTTACCCCACGATGCAACTGGATTGGCTTTGTGCTTTGACCTTGTACTTGGACGGACATTGTTGCGGTCTCAAATAGACGTCTCAACACTTGGATATATCGACAGTCAATTAGGCATCTCTGCATGGATTCTAGAACAGCCCAGGTTTCGATTGTATCGAAGGCTTTTTCGTAGTCCACATACGCTAGGCATAGAGGCTGGTTGTATTCCTCGGTCTTCTGAATTATTTGCCTAAGTGTATGTATGTGGTCCACTGTACTGAATCCTTTACGAAACGACATACCAGAGGTAAAACAAAAGCAATCGCCGACAACATCTCATTTGTTCTTTAAAAACAAACACGTCAGCCAGACAGAGCGGTGGACTACCGTTCGTGATGGGTGGTAAGGCTCCCAGCTATCATATCCCCATCGCTTCATTACCGATTGATCGATCACTATCGGTACATCACGAACTCCCAGCTATTCCCGCTATGCAACAATAGATGGCGCTACGGACGACTTTGAATCTCCACGCAATTAGTGGGAGTCTCGCAGCGCTTTTGATTGTTATTTATGATGCGAACGTTTCTCTTGGTAAAGTCTCTGGCTCGGATGCGATGAGGCAACAGTTTTCGCGTATGTCCGCCCGTTTAGCATGTTCGTATGCTTACTTTGAGTACATCAAGCTTGAAAGTATTGGTAGTTAGTGTGGACGTTTAATAGTTTAATCACTGTTTATTTAAAAGGGATTTTGAAATTTTACACACACTATACTTTGTACAGTTTATGTTGACATGCATACCTTGCATGTTGGAAATCGACCTTGGAAATATTCCCTATAATCTGATTTATGTGAAAAGATAATTTTGAAAGAATATTTACATTTTTTTTATCAAGAGCCTGATGTTACGTGAATACAACTGACAATGAAGAGCTACAAAACCTGAGGGCTTTTTGGATTCGTTAATATAGGTGTTGGCTTCGGTGCCGAGGGTCATGGGTTCGATTCCCACACGGGACAACAATTTGTGTGACCCACAATCAATTGTATTGGATCTTGGTCTTTGTCCACGTGAAATGTATGTATGTGAAACTGTACGTGTGATCCTACAGTATGGGCAATGTTATTAAAAAAAACGACGTGCTAGGAGTATGTAGAAAGAAGAAAGTGTTACTCACTAGAACTGTGGTAGAGTACTAATAGTCGTTGTTGCAAAAATGGACAGGTCCGTCCGGATCCCACGACCTCTCAGAAGATTTGCGTGAAGTTGAAGTGTTACACTTCTGCGTTTCGTGACCGAGTGGGGGTAACCGGAGCCCACTATATTTAAAGGTGGCAACGTATTTGCAACCCTGAGTGTGTTGCGTAAATATCCAATTGTGGTTAGCGCCTAATATAAAAAAAAAACTTCACTAGAAGCCGGTAAGGCCTCTTGCTCTGATTACCCAGGCTCATGTCTTGTCTCCCGTTTCAGGTGCGCAGTGAGCCGCGTCCGGTGGGCGCGCGGTGGTCGGTGGTGGTGGTGGGGGCGGGGGCGGGGGCGCTGTGGTGGCGCTGCACGGGGGCTGGGGGCGGGCGCCGGCGCCCGCGCACGCCGCCACCACGCTGGTGGGCGGGCTGGTGCCGCCGCCGCGGGAGCCCACCACGGCGGCAGAGGCCTTCTGGAAGATGCCGCATAAAGGTTTCTTGCTTTCCATTCGCTGCTCCTTTTTTCAACCGACTTCTGGAAAGCGGGTGATTGTCGATTTGGTGGTATTTTTGAACGTATACTTATCGGTGACACTACTGTCACCGGTGGTGTTGCCATGTCGAGCAATAACAACTTTTCAAAACCAATGACATTCACCCGTAACTCGAAGTTACTGAATTATACCGTTATCGTTTGCGTTTAATGTCTTTTTTCCACAAACGAAGACTGACTGAAGAATCACTGACACCCGTGATAAAAATTTTAGTTATTTTTGTTTTGTAACTCTAGAACTTTGTTTTGTAACTGTAGAAGTATAACTTCTTACGAGCGTACATACATAAGTATGCACACATTTTTTTTGTATTTTGATACTCCAAAACTCCGGCATTTAGCATGAGCCGCTTTTGAAAATTGATTTTGCATTGGTTTCGTTTTAGCTCCCATGCGGTCCCATATTAATTTCATCGTGAACTTTAGACACAAAAGATACAGCTGGGAGCTCGTCGAAATCAAATAGAAAATGAGTAACGAGGGTTTTGTGTTTTGATAATAAAAATCTACTTGTTTAACTTGACAATGGTCCTGGACTTCTGGGGAAGGGGACTTCTGTGAAGACGCATAACTTTCGTATGGGGAAGTGGCAAGCGAGATGGTTCAACTGATGAAAGTGATATTCGCTAACCATAGTGACATGGTTACATCAACCACCAGACGAAATGCAGAAGAACAATTCTTCCACATCGTTCTTCCGATCTTCTGTGAGACTATTCGTGCAGCAAAAACTCTGCGAAGCTTTACCACAGTGAAATATATATATATATTTAAAAAAAATCGGAAATTAGATGCAGAGGCTCCTAAGCAGGACCTTTGTTGCCCCTTTTCATTTGAACATAACCAGCACTTTGTAAGGGCGCTGTACAAATTATTATCAGGAGGACTTGCTGATCCGTGACAGTGCCTACTTCTACGTAACCGTATGAGGTTACGATCTTTAAAATGCAAGAGACGCGTCACAAAGCGTCTGTGGAACGTGCAAACCGCTCGCGCCATTTCTTTGGTAAACTCCGAGAGGAGACGCTACAACTCGGGCCGAGTTCGCGGTTCAACTAAACTACTAACTGGTAACGAAGTTGGCTCCGGCGTCAAGACGACAATAGTTCGCGAGTTAACAATATTGCCGGCCGACTCCGCACTACTAGCGAGGACCTGCGAAGACGCCAGCCGAGTTATAACGACCCTGTATGTGGCGCAAAGCAGTCGGGCGAAGTTCGGCGTCGGCTAATTAAAACCGACGCCCGACGAATTCGAAGATTGCGCGTCGACCGCTTTGCTCGAGTTCGAAACGCGAAGAACATAAAGGTCAAGTCGATGTTTTGCTCGATTGTTGCTCGGTATAACATAAAGGTGAAGCGACTGTTGCTCGGTATTAAGTTGTATCGATCTTCTGTCTACACATTCTCGTCAATGGCACAGCTATTGGCTTCGCCGGGGGTCGTGGGTTCGATTCCCACACGGAGAGTATTTTGTGAACCGTGAGTTCCGGATCTGGTTGTTTGTTACCAAGAAGGTGTTGCTAGGCAGGCGGATGGTTGTAAAGAACTTAGCTAAAACCACTTACAACATGATTCACATGTTGTGATGATGATTTTACGTCAATTAATCATAACCCGTTCAAAGTCAAATTCATCGTGCGAGTCGCTTGAATCGATTTAGATTTACACTTTCGCCGCATGAAACTTAACCCATCATCGATCGATCCTGGGAATTTGCAATATGCAATGCATTGGCGGCCATTGTTTGCCCTAAACGAAAAGTTTATATAATAAAAAAGAACAAATCTTAATTAAACGCTATAAATCTCTTAATATTACTTATTTAAAAAACATGTTACTTTGCTCGTAAAATAAATTGTCTTTTATAGCGTAAAACTTCGATATTGAACTTAAAAAAATCATCGTAGAATATTCATAAAAAAACCATAACACACGAACCGAATATTGTTCTTTAGTTAGAGTCAACTAACACTGTGTAGTCGATCTCTCCCTTCGAATAGTACCATTAAAAAGTAACATTAAAATCTTACCTATTGACCTAACATCAGAAGTAAGATCAAAGTTACGTATAAAAATTCCAGTGAAGTTCGTTCAAACTTTAGATAAGTTAACGTCCAACTTATTCGCACAGGGCTCCGGTGCCGTTGAAATCTGTACTTCGCTGTCCCTGGTTAATAGTAAATCTCATCGGGGCATCGAGATGAGTTGGAAATACTAACTGTTGAGTAGAAGGCTACCTTAATATTAATGTTATTAATCAGGCGTCCGGACAGGTACAGCTAAATTTGATCGAATTGAGAAATAATTATTTTATAGGCCTAAAGATATTACGTTGTTAGGACGAATAGAATATTAAAGCGCCATTCGTAAGATTGTTATTAAGAATTCCGTAAATTAACCATTTTTTAAGTTTTTATATGTATCGATGAATATCAAATCAATTAGAATTGACAAATAAATCTATAATCTAAATCTTATCTTTGCTCTACAAAACAAAGGTTTTACGGTAATTATGACGATTTTATTTATTTCAACTAATTGTCATAATAGCGGGCATAAGTAATTTAAACAATAAAATAGATTCGACAATAAGGTCAGGATTATTCACAGTTAATTAAGGTTAAGATAAAATCTATGTAGAGATGTCCTAACCAAAAAATTAATTATTTGTGTTTATAATACTTGTTTATAATATTTAATATTTTATTACATACTTACATTATAAACTAAATACGTAAAATAAAAAGTAAAGTAATAGCCTATACATGTCCCACTGTTGGGCAAAGGCCTCCTCTATACAGAGGGTATCAGGGCATGGTCCACCACGCGGCCCCACTGCGGTTTGGCGGACTTCACATATCTTCGAAATATATTTCTTTTGTTATTATTTCGAAAATATGCAGGATTCCTCACGATGTTTTCCTTCACCGCGGAGCACGTGATAAGTCAGCACTTAAAGTTAAAAACTTCATTGGTGCCGGCACCGGGGATCGAACTGAGGTTGTTCGAGGATATTGAATTAAAGGCGAGCGTCCGGACACTGAGCTATCACGGCTCTAACTAAATACCTATGTAGCTGAAATTGTTACGAGTTTTCCAATGATTCATTATAATAAAAAAATATCTTGTGTGAAAGTGTTACACATTGCAATGCAAGGTACGGTATGAAATTAAATTCATACTTAGTTATACAAAATTTCTTGTTTGAAATCGAATGAGATTGAAAAATTTTATTTATGTCAAAGGAAAAAACGTGATAGTACAAAATGTAATTTTCAGATTTAATGGAATACAAATCTGTTATGTAGACTTAGAAAAACAACAACGGATCCCTTTATACAAAAGTCCCAAAAAGAAGTATGTACGTCATATTATACCAGGTATCACACTTAACATCTTATTTGATATACATAACTAAGGCATATACGTGGAATTTATTGGAAATAAAAATGTAGAATGGAGGAATGAATCCAAAGAAAAAATTTAAATTCGGTTAGCGTCTTGGCTTTAAGCGTGGCACAACAGGAATATAATTATGCCTCGCCATACCGAAGCCAAGCCAAGCAAACCGAGCATGCGACGATTGTGTCACATTAAGCGACAGATAAAGACAAATAGACCGGAAAATCTGTTGTAAGAGGGAGATAAACAGAGTTCTCTTAGTCGCGCCGTTAGAGAAATTTTAATGATTAAGCACCTCGTCGATTCTGCAGGCTGTACCCTCCAAGCCTTGTTATTTTGAGTTGGCAAAATTAAAAACGTACATTTCCATTTCGAATGAAAACTAAAAGCTTACATTTGTATCTCGTATCAGACATTTTTTATTAAACAGTATAATGCCAGCCCGCTTTAAGTTCCATGTTTAATATCGCAAAATGGTTTTGGATGTTTTATACGTATGTATTAAAAGACAGAAAATTCATAAATAAATTTTAATTTTCAAAATACACTGAACTGATACTTTCAAAGATCATTTGGATGTATTTATAAGAACAAAGTCACATATTTTTAAACTGAAGGAACGAAGGGCGAGGAACAATATTTTAAAGCCATAATTAATATTAACGATTTTTATAATAAGGCTGAACGATCTAAAGGACCTTTGCCGCGTTGTCCGCGTAAGCGACGTGAAAAAATAAACAAAGGAGCGCCAGGGACGCATGCGCCAAGTCGATTTTTTTTTCTAACCGGTGACGTCTCGTTGACGGGTATTTTATAAAATGATAAGGGACTAATTTTTTCACTTCTCCGGACCAGTATTCGATCCGCGGGTTAAGTGTTGATAAAAAAAGTTATTAGTTTCTAAAAACGATAATGACGATAAGCTATCGAACTACATAATAAGAAAAATGTTTTCGATCCTAATTTTCATTTTAAATCGGAAAACAGGATAATTACTATCTTCCTTATGATAAATGATTACATAATTTTAAAATTTTTTGCTACAAATTCTGATATAAGGTAATTTTTTTATAATACTTAAGACAAAGAAATTGTTTATCTGAATTTGTAGCGTTGCCGGAAGTTACAAATGTAACTCTATACAAAATATACATAAAAAATATTATTAGGTCTTTAGTAGACAAGGATGTATGGAAATGTCTCCTGCTCTGTACTTGCAAGTCACATGGCTGCTGCTGATTTTATACTTATATAATCTTGTAAACTTTACTTTATCAGCCATTAGTGTCCCACTGCTGGGCAAAGGCCTCTAAAAATTGGCTTTGTAAACTTATGTAATTAAAAAAAATCACAAACGCATATGCAACCCATCCTGTTTTGTAGATGCCCATTGGCCACGGCAATCACTTAACATCGGGAAGAGTCGTAATTTCAGCTTGTTTGCGCCCACTGCTGAACATAGGCCACACCCACAGACTGTCACGAATCAGGATCCTGAGCCACCTGCATTCATCGACTCCGCGCACATTTGCACAGGACGACAGGGGTCATCCTACGTTGCGATGTCCAGTACGAGGCTGCCACTCAAGAGCCTTTCTTCCCCATCGGTTATCGGTTGTACTAGCTATATGGCCGAACCATCGCCTTCAGCTTACTAAACTTGGAGTCTGCTCGCTTGCCAAATTTCGCATCGAAAAATACATACGCAAGTTTCCATTCAGCAACACTTAACTCTCTATAGGTACTAACGGTACGTCGAATTGGCTTTGCGTATACCCGCGTCGCCGTTGACGCGGCGCGGTTCGTCAATGGCGTTATTTTTTCTCTCCACTCATCCGCAAATGGGCGTGGTTGGATGTGCACCGTAAATTATGTCACGGGACGAACGGCCCGAGTTATTTCGCGGGCCCCATAGAGCTGAAACTATTATTAAAAGTTGCAGTTAAAAACGCTCACTTTTGTCACTAAACATGACTTATGGGTGTTTATGATTTTTCGAGAGGTGTCTGTGCAATCTGTGCATCGCTTTGTGTACGCAACAATCTGTTTTTGAGTTTTCATTGTGTTCACATCCTAATTCTACATCGTGTTATGGCAATTTGACGGAGGATTTAGTTATTTTTATTGTTAACAGCTTTCTGTGCATTTAACTCTGACAAATGTTAGTGATCTTGAGCTGTCAATTGTTGTAAAATTTTATTATTATAAATGCGAAGACAAAATATTCGTTTTATTAATATAGACTCAAGTATTCCTTCGTAAGCATTGTTTTACTAATTATTATGAAAATAATGAGACCCGTGAATATAAGCACAGCATAATATTTCCCATCAAATAAAGGAAGGCTGAAAATGTGTTCTGAGACAAGAAGAGCTTTTAACATACCGACGACCTTCGATAATTCTTATTGCTTTAATTGTCTGAAGCTAAATTTTCAAGATAAAAATAGTGCATAAATCACTGTAAAATTTGGTGTTTTATAGAGAGTTTTGAGCAGCTGGCATAACTTAACTTGTTTGTTTATGAATAACAAATTACTTTGACCAGGCTTTGTCAACTTAGTTTAATTATCATGTATAAGACATCGGTGCGCTGCTTTTTGTTTCAAACTATTTTCGCTCTCAATAAGAACTGAGTTTGTATTATAGTCAAAAGACTGATTCCTATTCTACCCTACCCAGTAAAAAAAACGGAAAGATAAACATTGTATCGTGGAAAGTAAACTTTTGAAAATAAATTTCAATTTTGGAACAGTTAACAAAATATATAATTGGAATTGGAATCGGGAAGTTAAATATTGAGCTAGAGTTGAAATTAAAAATGTTTCGGATCACGCGTAAAGCCCAAACGGGATTTGGTGCATCCAAAATGGCGTTTACTGTCACAATTAAACTTCCCCCAATAGATTTAAGCAATTCAAGAACAGATACAAAATAATAAGAGGGGTAGCTGAGTGGGGTTTGTCAGCCACCAGGTGTGGACTGTCATAAGCAGGGTTTGGACCCCTATGTACCCATCTTTATATAGCCCGCGTTTGATTAATGTTTAATGCATGTTGTGAACATTTAATTTGTACATGCTAGCGACAAAGTAATTATTATTCTAAGCGTAGATAAAAAAAATTATTATATACAGCTTAGCATTTTTATTTTCACTGTTGTACATCCACTGGATTGTTGGCGACTAGAATGATGATAAATTAATTACAAAGACTTTATGTGTAGAAAAATTCCATTATCCGTTTTGTGCTTAAAAACGGGACACGTTTTATATGATAAATTAAATTCTTGTACTGAACATTAATTTATAATATCGTGGGCAGGTTAAAAGATAAATTGTTTAATCCTAAAATATGATGATTACTCAGTTTGCTCAGATGTCGTTAACGTCGTTGATTGATTATTAAAATAAAAGTAGGTATATGAAGAAATAATAACACGATTTTTGACCAGACTGGTGACAATGATGAAAATTCCGTCTAGAAGACCACATAAATGTCTATCTAACAGCGTACCCGAGGAAAGTGGATTTGAATAGGCGTCATTCGTTAGACAATGTAAAAGTTAAATATCGTATCAAAACTCTCACATCGGTACGTCCCGAGACTAATAATTTAAGTTCCTCTACGAAGAACAGATGTAGGTACATTAATTATTGTTATCTGCGATTTAACCAATCGCGAACTATTAATGTGTGCATAAAAGTAAAGTAAACATTTGTCAATTTTCACTATTTTACCACAAATAGTTGTAGGTATTAGTTACGAATCATTAACACCATAAATAAGAAATACTAGAAATAATATTTCGATACCTGAACTTATTTCTAATTTTATGTATATAACGCGATTGGGAAAGAAATTTCAATCATACAACTTGAGTCGAATTGCGAGTTTTCTCAACATTTGGATTATTTGCACCAATGAAATGTCTAGAGGCTAAATCATTGAGTATGTCACAGGAAATCAAAATTATTACATAATGTCCCTAATAGGATACGAAGAAAGTTTGCCAAATCTGACCTACTAGAGGCGTTATTACGAAAACAATTTTCCAGGTAAAAAATACATGGTATAAAGGTATATGTAGGTACATTTAGCGCTACCACACAGCGTAAAACACGGATCAATCACAAGTGGGACTTTCCCGTACATTAAGCGTGGTGCTGCCAGCTAGACGAAACTGCCGCGTTCGAAATAATAGTATGAAATAATAAAAAAAATCCCCACAACTATACATAAATTTGTAGAGTCGCGCCCATAAAAACGCGGATTAAAAATAAATCGCTCGAATAAATTGCACCTCTGAAATTAAAACACTCCCTCACACGACACGCGTACTTGCATTGCGCGTGTTTGGTCCAAGCTATAGGGGTTTCCCGCCCTTTCTGTTGAGCCCATGTTACATGAACATATATTGCATTATTGAATAGTTTCCCCAATTTATTATATTAAATAAGTATTTAAGTCCTTAAACTGAAAATGAACATTTTTAACTTTAGTGAATCCGTGTATTTATATCTTGTTATACTCAAATCAAACAGTTTATCACTTTATTAATGTACTGTCAAGCGTGGGTCGAAAATCGCTTCAGCTCAGTCGCCCGCTGTCTAAATCGCTAATGCTCGTCGATTGCGCCATGCAACCGGGGCGTGGGGGTCTACCCCAGCGATTGTCCATTGTTCTTTTAACAGCCGCCCGCTTGTTAGTGCGCGGCCAACAGTCGTCAAGGTGAGCTCCGAGAGGTGTTATTAATAACGGGTTTCGGCGTGAAAATGCGTCACTTAATTGGCGAACGGCGCCGAGGCTGAACGGCGAAAACATTCCCATTGTGGAGACGTTTTAATAGACCCTAACGCTTGGGGCCGAGGGGTGAAATATTAAGGCGGATTTATGGCAACCAATTCGACTCCTATAAGCTAGATGGTTGTAGGTGCATGCGTCGAATTATATGGTCACGTACCAATTTGCTCTCTAACATTCACTGAAGCGACCTGTGTTATATAAAATTTGATAGCGCTTTTGAAAAGAATACCCATGGTCGCATAGGAACCGCTATGCTAAAGACAAATGATGAACTAACATTAATAATAATTTATGCTAAAAATAAATAACATTGTGTAATTCGTGTAAAAAAATCCATATACTAAAGCGTATTAAACGTATTTAAATTAATTATATTTATTTAATACTATAATATTAACAAAAAAGAAGAATATAAAAAACCACTACTGAATAACCATATTAAATATAAAAAATATGATTATGCATGAATATTAATTAGGTTTTCGCAATTTGAATCGGGCGGTTACTGCATTCAATAGGACAGGCAGGCAGTAACAATCCAATCATTATAATAGAATTGTGAAACAAAAGAAATATTGAATTAAGGAATATCCATTCCAATCTTGCTGGAGCTAGTCACTAACGGAGGCGACCGCAAAAAATAAAGGGCGAAAACAATGAACTTTCCGCCGACCCCCCCCCACCCGAAAAGGCCTTAATCAAGCCCTGCCCTAAATTCGCCCACAAATTGCATCCAATTGTTCACTTTTTACCGCGAGGCGTGTTTGTAAGGGGTGGGCAAAAAAAGGAATTATCTGTCCGTTGGCTGAACGCATCCGATCTAATGCACCCATTGAGCTCTATTGGCGCGAAAAAGCGGCGGGAAAGTTTTATAATTGCGCATAGACAACTGTCGGACGGCGAGGACATCTGTAATTTCGTCGGGATTAAAGGCACAGCACATTCATCCATTCGGCTATTCATGAGACGGATTTGGATTAACAAATAATATGTGCTCAAACTTCAGGCTAAAATCGAAAGCGGCGATAAATTTAGTAACAATATTTTTAATCGTTACCTTTGAAATTGAAATCATATAACCGTAATTTTTTTAACCAATATTTTTATTTGTTTCTTTAACTATTTTTGTTGGGTCATCTTTTGTTTTCTAAGCCAGTCTTAGTCGCCAACAAGCTTCTTACAACATGAAGTTTAGACACTTGTAATATAGGTGCAAAAGATTCTTGGCTACAGTCTGCATACCTGTATCAGAAACCTTTTATGTCTGCATATTGTAATTGTTTTTCGAATACAAAGCATTAATTATAGATTAAAAAAAGCGCTAAATAAGATTTCTAAAAAGCTTAAAGAGCTCCTAAACGGAACCTTTGCTACAATGAGGCTGAGGTATCTTCACTTTAACGGGGATTAGATAATAATTTGCGGTTTTCTTTCGGGCGCCGCGAAACCCTTTTTTGTGCAGAGGTCCTTTTTTATTTTCGCCAAGCGGATTATTTTTTTTAAACGGGTTAAGTTTTTTAATACTTTTTCGTTTGTCATGAAGATGCGCGATGTGTCTATGAAGGCTCACAGGTACCTGACCACTTTTGTGGAGGTATCCCACTTTTAGAGTCTGATAAAGAAAACACTTTGAATAGATTTCGCCTAAGCTCTTCGGATTTTGCATCGGATTGCTTGCAACGGACGTCTTGAGTTTTTGCGGTGTTTGAAGCAGATGCGGAATTATTGTAAACCACTCGTTCGTATCTTAATATCAAATCTTACGATGCAGTATTTTTTGTTTATTGTTTCATATGAAATGATTAGGGAAAGGCTTTCAAAGAAGCCTTTACCAGATTTATATAGATTTAATCTTTTTTACTTATCGTTTATTTTTTTTTTATTTTTACACTATTTGTTACGATTCCATGTTCCATGTCCATGTTCGCCCGTGGACACGGTGATTAAATTGATTTTTAAACAGATTAAATTTTAATTTTAAACAGCTTGAATACGGATCCAAACGGGACAATAATCTGTGCGTCACACAAATATTTTTCCCGTGCGGAAATCGAACCCACGATCTCTGATGTCGAAGCCAATGGCTATGGAAAAACCTTAGTATTTTACTGAGTAGCTAGTTAAAAATAAGATAAATCAATATATTATAATCAGTTAGAGAAGTCGTCCTCAACGAATTACATATCTAGCTGTGGTAGGGCCATGCAACAGCTTCGGCTGTTACACGAACGGGCTGGTCCTTCCGGGGAAATACCACTAACTCACAGAAGACCGGCATGAACTGGAAGTGTTACACTTCTGCATTGCGTCTGGTGAGTGAGGTAACCAGAGCCCACTGTATTTTTTATATGAGCGGCAAACGAGCTGGTGGTTCACCTGATGTTAAGTGATAACCGACGCCCATGGACATTTGCAACACCCGTAGGGTTGCGGCAGCGTTGCCATCTTTAAATAAAGTGGGCCCCGGCTTAAAAGGTAGTATTAAAAGGTGACTCATCTGCAAACCTAGGTGTCGCAAACGTCCACGGGTGGCGGTCCTCACTTAACATCAGGCGGATCGCCAGCTCGCTTGCTACCTTTCAAGAGCCATTCGCGCCCATCTCCACTCAACACCCGGTCGAAGCCGACGCACTTAACGACTGACCGAAGCTCTCGTTCTAGACGAGCTGATGCACAGCGCCGCGATGGGCGGCGGCGCGCTGTTCGGCTGCTCCTCCGCCGGCCACAGCGGCATCAACCAGCTCGGCGGCGTGTACGTGAACGGGCGGCCGCTGCCGGACTCCACGCGGCAGAAGATCGTCGAGCTGGCCCACTCCGGCGCGAGGCCGTGCGACATCAGCCGGATACTGCAGGTCTCCAACGGCTGCGTCTCCAAGATACTCGGCAGGTCGGTACGGCAACTCACGACTGATGATATTGAAATCAAATCAAATCAAAATATATGACGACCCGAATGGCGTAGTCGGTAGTGTACCTGCCTTCTGCGCCAGAGGGTGTGGGTTCGATCCCCACTACTGGAAGCATATTGTGTGATGAGCATAGTGTTTTTTTAGTGTCTGGGTGTTTATATATGTTTAATGTGTATTTATTTACAAAAGAAAAGTATGTTTAAGTATGTCTATCAGTTTTCTAGTACCTTCATACTACAAGCATTGCTTAGTTTGGGACTAGAGGACGTTGTGTAAAGAGACGGTGTCCTAAAAAATATATATTTATTCACATAGACGCTTACGCGTTCTTATGAAACGTCAAAATTTTACATGAAAATTAATACGTTCGTAAGTTACCACCGGTTCGGAAAGCAGTTTCTGTCAGAAAAAAACCGGCAATAAACTCCATAGTTGCTCTTTTTTAAAACGATTAGTTTTCAATATAATACGACAGGCATGTCTTATTTTAGTTCTTCTTTGACGGCAAATACAAACATGCTGTTCTCTTTCCGTTCCTATTCGGTGATATCATAGCGGTTGCGGACACTATGAAGCTAAGAGTGGATGTGAACAATCTGTTAGTGTATGATGATCTTAAGGTTTCCGAAAGCTTCGTCTGAAATGTAGCTAATGTCACCACAATAATAAAGGACATGATAACCGGGGACCGGTAATTCGACAAATCGTAAGTTCGTAAATTGTACTGTAAAATTTAAACAATAAACGCCAGGCTAACTTACAACCAATCTAATTGCAACAGCTGCTTATCTTTGTTATTTGGCAGTACGGCAGTTTACAATTGTGGAATTGGGAACTAGCAAAGATTCGCAATTTTGGGTCGATAGCAGACTCTAGCGACTTTCATATTTAATGTCTTTAACGACTCTGACGCCAAAATATGATAGGTCTCTTTAAAGAAAACCTCTCAAACCTATTGAAAACATTAAGTGTGCTGGAATTTTTCAAGATTTTATAAGATGTTCATTCGTAATTACAGTTTTTATGTAGATATTTTGGAAACTGTTGACTTTTATAAAAAGGTAAGATTAATTTCTTAAGACACACCCACCTAGTCTTTCAAACTGATATGGTTAAACTACTCAGTATGAAAGCCCACTTTATGAAAAGGTGGCAACCCATCTGCAACCCTAGTGGCGTTGCAGAACCGCCAGCTCGCTTGCCACCCTCTCGCATAAAACGATTCTGTTACAAAATGTTCAATATTAATATTGGGACTATTTACGTTCAATTAATACGTCAATTGGTCTAAGATTTCTTTTCAAGATTTGATCAATGACTTTTCAAGTGAACGGACACAAGAAATCTGACGATTTACAATTTCTTTTTCACTTACATTAACATTCCACGACGTTCGAATTACAACTGACTGCACCACCGCCATTACAATGGAATAATGTGTTAAAAGGGAAATAACATGCACTCCGCATTGTATACTCGACAAAACGCCGAAGAATCGATCACTCCAAGACGGGGCCGAAGTCAGGCCACGCGCACCGCAAATTGACTCCGTTCCCATAATGCCTCCTAAGGTGCGCAACGTTTGGAACAATGGGTGGACAGAACCCGAGGAAATATTTCATTGACTTAATCAATACAATGCCGAATAAAAGATCGAGTTTGCATTCCCATAGTGTTGTCGCGCATTGTTTTTGCGCCGAGGGGGACCGCACCGCGGGCTAGGTGGGAACCGCACGGGGTGCTGTAGGGTGCCAGTTCTAATTTCGCGCCGATTTATTGTTCGATTGCGATTTTATCGCTCGATTCTCGGCCCTCGCATGCGACCTCGCGGCCGCTTGCGCGCAAATCAATTTAAGTGCAAAACAGTTTGCTCTCGTCGGACCCTTGAGCGGTATTAGTTTATGATTTCCTCCAATGTATCCTCAATATTTCAATTCGCACAATGCAGTATTTTATTATGTGTTAGTTAAGTGGATAGTGTGCTGATGTTCAGAATTGCATCATAATCATCTGAGCTATCATAATTAACTTCTTGATATGGTGCAGTTCGGATCTTCAACTTCTTAGGTCGTAATGTTATATCAATGTCAGATTTGCTAGCTATCAATATTATCATATTTGTTGCCTCTTGCATTTGACAAGCATGAATTACTTTGCTCTTAAAACTTATTTAAAGCTTGAAATGAACATTACCGCCAGTGATTCACTTGTTCGGAAAATGTAGTTATGATTGATACGAATAAAACAATTCTAATACAGAAATTTAAGACAGCAATACTTAGAAATCACATTTTTACATTTACATTTCTCACATCCGGACTTATGAATCCAATTAAAAGATCTAAATTGCAAAGAATATATTATATTCGAATAACTTTAATAAATGCCGGTCCATTATTTCTTTGATAATTAACAAATGAATAAAGAAATAAACAAAACCAGAAGTCAATGACGAAACAGCATTTGCTTGTGTTGACGTGTCAATCAAAGAAAATGGGCATTTTAATACGGGGTGTGCGTTGCAGGGCTGTCCCACGACCGCCCCTAAATAAAAATAAAAATAAAACATTATTTCATGGTAATTGGCACCCCTACTGTGGCAGACTGCTTGACGCCACTTCAAGAGATCTTATAGGAAAGTGATTTGGCCTGGGGGAGAGTGGAGTTACGCCTGAGGCACTTGCAATTGTAATGGCTTTGCCCGCTGATGTAACAAAGTGAATGGTTTTTAATGTTAACTCAAGAAAATCAAACGAACCGCGACATACAATCATCATTACAGCTGTTCCGCAAATATAAGTGTATTTATAATTAACGGTTGCTCAATTGTGTCCAATTGTCAGACCCTGGGAGGAAATACATCATTACGATATTGTCTTTTTCTTTTTTTTTAATGTGATAAGTTGCCAAACGAGCAGACGGTTCACCTGATGTTAAGTGAATGACGCCGATGGACATCTGCTACACCCGAGGGTTGCAGATGCGTTGACAACCTTTTGAAAATTGGGCTCCGGCCACCTCACTCACCAGACGAAATGCGAAACCATTATATTCCACTTTACGCCGGTCTTCGATCCAAAAAGCCTCTTCAAGCTAATCTAGTGGTACTGATGACACGTTCTATCTTCTCATTATAAACCTAATTAAGTTTATGCCCAATTAACATCTGTTATCGAAAAATATGTCCCTACTAAGTCCCAGGCTATTATTGTTGCTGGTGTTGGTTTGATTTCAAGAGTTGACTGGAATAACCTTCCTTTGGTAAAATTAAATGACGTTATAATACCGTACTGCACCACTGTGAAAAATCTTGGTGTCCAATTTGACAATTCCCTCTCGTGGTCGGAACAATTGAATCAAGTGAGCCGAAAAACATTTGCTGCGATGGGTTCTCTCCGTCGTTTACGTTCTTTTCTTCCCATTCCAACTAAAATTATGCTAGCACAATCCTTACTCCTGTCCATTCTCGATTATGCGGATGCAAGCTATCTTGATTTAACCGAAGAACAACTAAATAAACTTGAGCGTATTCAAAATTTAGCCATTAGGTTCATATTTGGTTTACGCAAATATGATCACGTTTCCGAATTTCGTTCAATGCTCAAGTGGTTATCCATTCGTTTTCGCCGGAATCTACACACTGTCTCTCTTCTGTACTGTGTATTATTTAACCCGAGGACTCCAAGCTATTTAAAGGAACACTTTAAGTTTCTTGGCCATAACCATCCAGAACGAGTTCTGCGATCAGCTGAAGATCTAATTCTAGCACCACATGCGTACAAAACTAAATATTATAAGAACTCCTTTACAGTTAAGGCCATCCGCTTGTGGAATGAACTTCCTCAGCAAATTCGTCGTTCGAAGACGCTACACAAGTTTAAAATTGACGTAAAACAACATTATCTATCGCTTTGTAATCCATAGTTTTTAATGGCAATATTCAGATTTAATTCTTCTCTTGTGTATTTATTTATATATATTATATATTTATTTATGTTTATGCATGTTTATTATAATTTTTTTTATCTTATTATATTTAAGTCTATTTTGGTATTAAGTAAGTTTATTGAGCACACCACCTCCCACTATTCATTAGTTTATTTTTTTCCTCGTCCTAAGGTTGTCTGGAAGAGATCGCTTTTTAGCGATAAGACCGCCTTATTGTACCTAGCTTTTAAGACTTATTTCATACTAATTGTATCAAATTCTTTGTGGTGTACAATAAAGTATATAATAATAATAATAATAATATGTTTTATTTTTCGATAACAAAAAAAAAAAAGATGTTAATACAATATTTTAATGGATATAAGAAGCAAGAAATCAATGAAAAATTTAAATTTTATAACATAAAAGACTAAGTAAACTTTTATTGGTTTATTGAAAAGTGCTGATCTAGTATTTCAAAAATATTAGTAAATTTTTTAGCGTTGGTGTAACTGGTATAACCGACAATTATTGACAACGGTTTGTTTAATCATGTTAGCTTAAACAACATAAAATAATAATGATTTCTTTAAATTATGCAAACATGAAACACTATTAATTAAGATTATTTTAAGATAGTACCTACTGCGTTTATTTAATGTCGAAAATTTTGATGACCTAAGAGCATGCACAATAAAATATGTTTCGTGATACGAATGCCTCAAGTTGTTCGATTCAAAATGAAAACCGACGGGATAAAATCTGTAAACACTTTCATTTGACGAAACGGAGTGACACTAAAATTAAAAATAGCAAAATACAAAAACTTATTCTTTTCGAAAGTGACACAATTGAAGTACACCAACGATTATGTTATCCTATTACCGCTGTAATTTAATTACGTACGTGTTACACGTGTAAGATTATTGTTTCAGCTAGAACGTTGCAACGGTGAGGCGTTTTCACAAAGAAATTTGACATAAAGCAGACGTGAGAATTTCATCAGTAGTAAAATATGAAAAAAAAAAAATTAAGAAAAATCGTCGCTGCA